AAAAAGAATCATTATGCTGATTTACTAAGACATAGAAACTTATATTCCATCTCCCTGGGTATCCAGCATGAGGCCTTAAAGAAGCCTCAAGGAATACATGTAATTAGTTCTGTGTTCCTTAGCCTTAATTTTTCCCTTTTCTCACTCATCATTTCCAAAATTTCCACAATAAATATTTTCAATAACTTTTATGAAATAATATTTTAATGCTGTTTTTCAGGTAATGTTTTTTAAAAGATGAGTGGGGAGGACTTGAGGTATGATTTTAGGAATCTTCATTACACAGAAAAAGGAGAAGTCGTGCCAGACTGAGGAACTGGGTTTATATTAAGACTTGCTGTGCTAATGCCTAAAATCTCTAGAAGTGTTTCACCCTTCTGGAAAAAGTGAGGGTCAGCAGTAAAGGAGGAAAAAAAAAAGGATTTAGCCCTTTTTTTGATGTTGCTCTTCAACAATATTCACCTTTTTATTAAAGTTCTTCAATGGCCATGAGAAATACACCTGCAAAGATAACTATCTGTTGCCTATTACAGTGAATTAACATCAGTCTAATCTTATCCAGTGACTACTGGCAATTACTACCAAGAGAACAAATTAGAAGCTGTTTTGTATATCAGATCATCATAGCATTTCAAAACACCTTTTCTGTTTAACAAACATTTCTTCATCACTTATAATATGCTGGAATATCTTTAATTACAACACCATTAATTTGTAAAAGTCATATTGTCCATCTAGGGTCCTGCAACTATGGAAGAGTATTTGCAAAATTGTAGAACAGTATTAACACCTGTCAGAATGCAAAAGGCTGGCTCAGCCTGCAATGAAAGCATTGATTAATCTTTCCTTTCCTTTCCTTTCCTTTTTCCTTTCCTTTTTCCTTTCCTTTCCTTTCCTTTCCTTTCCTTTCCTTTCCTTTCCTTTCCTTTCCTTTCCTTTCCTTTCCTTTCCTTTCCTTTCCTTTCCTTTCCTTTCCTTTCCTTTCCTTTCCTTTCCTTTCCTTTCCTTTCATGTTTTTTTAAGACATAATGCAGAATCTCAGCTCTGTGGCCTTCAGTGAGCAAAGCCCAGTGAAGGAAGCCAAGCAGTGGTGAGAAGAGTGCTCAAAGGTGATGTTGAAGTGAAACCAGTCCAAGGTGGAAGCAGTTCCTAGGGTGCAATAGCACAACAGCAGTTTGCTGACATCAGCCCAGCTCCCCATGGATGTCTGATATCCCTGGAAAGGATTGTGAGCATGGAGCAGGTGGGGAAAGGCCATCAGGGCTGAGCAAGTCCTGAGAGCTGCCACTGTGCTTTGTGCTCATCTTGGCTCACTGGGGAGAATGAAGAGTAAACTGCACTGGAAAAGGGAAAATGGCAACTAGCAAAATGAGATGGTGCAAATTTCACTGCACGTTGGGGTTTAAAACTAACTTGGGAGATCTTTGTTTTAGGACAGAGCAGAGTTTTGAGATGTAACAATATCAACTTCCTAAATATCCTTTCTGTTGAATGTTCCTGGAAAGGATTTACATTAGAAGATACTCAATAGAGCCTATGTAGCCCCAAAATTTATGTCTAGATTATTTTCTAGAAGAACAAAAGCTGTGATGTTTACATCTAGACCCAAAATTTCCTGGAAATATATTAGCATGCATTTCATAAGATGTGAAACTGAAAGCAATATGCAGTAAGTACCTGCATCCGTTCTATCCCAGAAGGTAACTCTGAAACTGAGCAACAAGGGGACCAAAAAGAAAAGGAGGTACTGCAAAAGTTATTAAGCAGCTTTATAAACCAAAATAGTCCAATTTACTTTGGGGAAAATGGTGATTGCTGCATTATTCAGAGAAAATTGAGCTTTCTGCTGCAGTACAAAATCTCTATATTTCTTGTATACAGGAAGAAAAAAAGAGAAAATTGTGCAAGTCCTAAAATCTGGAATCCAATGCTAAAGGATTTACTTTAAGCCACAGAATGCTTAGCTATTAGATGACCTATAAACATTTTTGTTTCATGAGTGAATGTTTAATCTAGTACAATACTGTTCCAAAGGAAACCATTAATAGCAACATTTTGTAGCAGTTGTGTGCATGTCCCCACTGGACCTCTAAATGAAGTCTGCATAAGGACTGTAAAGGTAGTAACCCTGCAGCTACAGCTATAATTATCAGGATTTAATGGTGTTTATGAATGACTTGCTATGAGTCAAAGGATAATAATACGTCTTATTAAAAATTTATTCCAAGTTATTTTTATAAAACTTTACTCATTTACGTGTCACCAATGATTGTTCTTCTAAATGAAACAATAGAACAATAAGGAACATTTAGGCTTCAAGAGAAGTCCTAGCACAGGGTCATTATATAATGACTCAGTGTAAACAAACAACATGTAATCTTTGTAATATAGCAATTAAAAATATCAGCTTAAAAGTGAATTATAAAAATAAAATAAGCAAACCTAAAAGAATATATCTCTAAAAAGAAGACCTTTAGTGTCACATGAAAATAATGCTAAACTCCAGTTCTGATTCACTGAGATAGATGACCACAGATCTTTTTAGCAGCTAATGACTGAACATGATCCAAATGGAACTGCAGCCAGATGGCACATGAGATTCATGGAACACAGCTATCACACCAACCACAAACCTGAATGAGCTAATGGAGTTCAAGACACATTAACTAATGATTCCCAGGAAGTAAACATTGCAAATGAAAGAAACCCAAATAATTTTTTAATTTTTTGACAAACTTAATAACAATATACTCATGGGGAAAAGGAACTTCCTTGTTCTAGGTCACAGAAAAGAGAGATGGAAAATCAAGATCCTTTTCCAAATATTTTTAGCTAGTTATTGGTTTAGATCCAACAGACCCCATTTAATCTGGTATTTCTGTACTCTTTTCACTCAAAATTTTAGTCTCCAGCAGAATATTTAGACATCACCTAAATTTTGTTACCCATAAGTAAGGATTTTTTTCTTCTAGAAAAGTCTACATGTTGCATTATTTTAGCCCATGGGTAAGAGAGACATTTAAAGACTAGAAAACAATGATCAGGACTTCTACACTCTGTACATATCTACCATTAATATAATATCCAAGGAATTTCAAACTCACAGTTAAATGAAGTATATTGATTATTCAAAAATATACACAAATGTTTTTGAGTTGTCCTTTAAGACCAACTTCCTAAAGAGCTGTTGATGAAGCTCTGAGCCTTAGTCAATAGGGTGAGTTGGGAGTTCTGGTGTGTTTTCCTCTAATTTTCCATCTTAGCCCACCAGTTCAATGCAACACATAAAGGATTCTGCTTATCTTAATATTTTGGATTTCACACTGGAACAAAGAGGTTTAAGAATCAGCATTGCTTTAATAGGGACTGGTGAGGACACAGCAGAAAATGATTAAGGGATATGGGGAAAGAGGCAGCAGGTGCAGTGAAAGGAGAAGCAGTAAAAGGCAGGAGCAGTGAACTGTTACCCAACAGACACCAGTAAAAGTACCAACACTCATTTTTGCTTGACGAATATTAAAGTGCTTATGATTAAAACATGCTTTTAAAAATTGTGTTATGAGAAAGAAAATCTGAAAAAAAAGACATAAATACACTCCAATCAAAAATAGTCTCAGCATAAATGAATAACTGGAGACTTTTTAAACTCGTCACTCAATTCTGATCCTTAGCTAACCCTCAAAGACATGTTGTTGTAAAGGTTAATTAATTAAAGTGAACAGAAATGATTATTTGAGAGCTGCTAGGTAAGTGCAAAGTACTGTTACTATAGGTTAATATTTTGCTCTTAGGGCACAGCCAATCTTGACACCAATGTACATTACATTCTGAGACAAACAGTTTCAAAGCTCAGGGCCTTAGCCCCCTTCTGCTGAAGTAGATGGGAATCGTTCTGCGGGTGTTCAAGACCTTTGGATCTGGCTCTGAGGATACAGCTGTGTAGTATAAAGCCATCTCCTAGCTCCATTAGCATGTGCCTCTGGCTCAAGACAGCTAATCTGTTTTGCTTCTCAGGCAAGCTAATTAGATCAGCAGATATAGCATAAAGCCTTTGAATCTTCAGAGAAATGCCACTGCTCTGGATGGGAGTAAGCACAGGAAACACAGGGAATTTGTATAAATGAGTCCAAAAGAGGTAAGTACCCAGTGGTTCCCATGGACATCATGGACATGCACAGATGCTCAACATCCCTGGCCACAGATGGTCATTAGTGTGTGTTTTGTCTGGACCTAAGAGATTTGAGCCGCTTCTCCCAGGTGACACTTTGATATCAGCAGGTCCATCATGTTACAATCAGACTTTTGTTCATAGAACTTCAGCAGTTTGTTAAGAGCAAGGTAAGAGTGTCTCATCTCCACACAAGCACCCTGACCCCCTGCAAACCCACCTGGGGTGAGATATGATGCACAACCAAGATATCCAAGAAGGCTGAGACCAGCCATCATTTATTTCTCTCTTCCACCCAACAACATCTGCAATTAGCAGAAACAATTAGACTAAACACCACCTCATTACATGGAACAGAACAGTCTGTGGCTTTCTTTTTGCAGCTTATTAAACTCTAGAACTTCCCCCTTATAATTCAAAATATCCCACATTTAGGGCCTCATCTGTTTGATGCAGGAGTCTGAGATGTGAAGGGATGAAAAGCAATGGTAAGTTCCTTTGGAACTGAGTTCAGTTCTGTTAAGGTTAAATCTAATTTAATTGACCATATAATTAAAAAAGTTATGATTTAAGAGCCTTGGACAGGCACCTTTATCATTTTATACTTGAGCAAATAAATAAGTTCAGAGCTGAATTTGAAGTCAGATCTCAAAATTTAAGATTGCTTGGACTTAACTATTTCACACATCACAAAAACTTATTTGTAGAGCTTAACTGGTACACCAAAATTTTTCTCATAACTGCTGTAATAACTATGCACAAAGTAAAACCTCAAGTGGAATGTGAACCCTGAAAATGCTGGTCCCTTTCGCTGTGACAGGGAGTGTTTTACCTGCTGCAGCACACTGCAAGTTCATCTGCTGAATAAGATCCTGGGCCAGAATTTCCCAAAGCTTGGGTACCTTGGGTTCTCCATCCATTTCCTCTTAAATCCTGCAAAGGGGCAACACTGACATTCTGTTTAAAATGAACAGAAGGGAATTATCTATAAAAATGTTTATTTAGGGAATATTTGAAAATAATTATAAATATTTTATCTGTCCTTTTCCACCAATTAAGGAAAAAACATGAGGAGCTGCCTGATTCCTCAGGTACTATCTTCCAAGGAAAATCAGTCTGGTCCAGATGAAAATGTAGAAGAAAAGTCAGCACTCTTTTCCCAGTTCTTGTGTAGAATCACCTTATCAATTAAAAGCAATTAATAGGAATTGTAATAGTTAAAATATTTTTTTGAACAGACATATCAGACATAAAACTATCCTTTTCCAATAAACAAGGATACAGGTGATGCACCAGTAAAAAACCAAAATGCAGACAACTTCCTTCAACATGACATCATGTAATATTTTTAAATAAACTTGCATACAAAATAATCTTCCAGGCATTAAAATAGAAATTTTCTGATAATAATGCAATTATTGAAAGACTTATATGCATTGAAATTCTCTTAAATAAGGGCAATATTTTTTATTTCAATTTAGGCCAATAGTTGTTTAAAATAAAATAATATCCCTGTAACAGTTATGGGGAAACATTTATTTTCATTTTTTTGCATTTAAGTTCATCCTATTAATAATTCTTTTTTCCCACCTCCTCTCCTTCACAAAATGATGTTAAAAGTAAAAGAAAGGATGTTTGCCTACTCATCTCTATTCTTTTTATCTAGAACAGAGCTCTGCCCTCCATCACATTCCTGTAGGAGGATGGAAATTCAGCAGAAACAAAAACCAGGAGTGAAGGCATTCATTCACATAGATTTACATTCTAACTGTAGAAACATTTTATGGTTTTAATTTAGACACCACTATATTTTTTGGTCTCTTCCCTTCCATGCTACCATCTCTGTTTCCCTTTACACCTATATTCTTATTCCTCTTTGAAGCCTCCATGACTTGTAACAGCAATTAGAAAAGATTTTTTTCTATATGATTTCCATCTTCTAAAATAAGCAGCTTGGCACAACTGTGTGGGCAATGTGTGCAAATTTGCATACACTCTATATGTTGGTTTTTCCCCCCAGTATTTTCTATATTTTTAAATCACTGATGTACAACAGAAAAAAAGAAAATACAAAATATCGCAATATATTAAAAACTTACATTAAATAATTGATTCATTACTTAATAATACTTGAAGTATACATTAAATTTAAATTATATCTTATATCTGTCAGAAAAGAAAGACTACCTAGATGTTTTATGGGGACAAAGTCTCCAGGGAGTGTCACAAATTCACTTGATGTCCGTAAGTAATTAATTTTCCATTTGGATCTCTGATTTAGCTGAAGGATGTGTAAATGCACATGCAGACAAGCAGTCAGGAATGGAGAGCTCTCTACTGACTATGCATCTGAGCATCTTCTCACCCACTGTGTATTCTAAAAAATATAGTGAAATGTGCTGTTGAAGAAATAGACACATGGTGCTGGTGTTTCCTACAGTCATGTTCAAAAACTAGACACAGGAAGTCTTTCTGTTTCAGACAAATCTTTCTTATTTTCTTCATCTATGACCACTGGCAGTTCAGTCACACAGATCAGATTTTTTTGTAAGATGAGCATCCCCAGGTATTCTGGTAGCAGTGTGTGTTCCTGGGAAACAGACATTTGGACTCCAACCTTTTTTGTTATTACTGTATCAATACTTATAACCATGGTACCAGGGCCAGTTGGTTAATCTCTTATATCATTATATCAATTATTCTTGTGATGTCATTTCAACATATTTTTGTAAATTTTCATACAATTTTCCTTGCTTTCCTCTCCCTAAAATTTTCCTAAAACATCTTCACTGCAGTTTCAATGCACACAATTATTATTCAATTTATCATCTTCAAATTATGAATGAAAATTATATTTGAAACCAAAATGTTTTCTATCTTAAAATTAATAAGTTTCTTCTATTTTAGAATTTCACAGATTAGCATTTACAACAAATTTTTCATCTTGTTTTTGACTGAGTCCCTTTTCAAGTTTTTCATTTCAGCTGTTCATTTGTTCTGCATTTCCCTTTGCCATATAATTGCAATATAATTCCATTTCTATCACACAATTCCCTATGTATTCTTTCCTATGTATTGCCTCTGACTGGTTCAATGGAAGTGACACTTGAATCCAGCCTTTTCTCACACTGAGGGTTTCTCTGTTAAAAGCTCCACCTGAAGCAGCACCCAAAAGACCAAATCTTTGGTGAAAGGCAGAAAAGAGCAGTGATTACTTGAGAAGCTTCCTCCAGCCTTACAGAGCCAGGCTCCCATTTTTCTTTATCATTTATCATTCATGTTAGCTGATAGCTTTACTATTTTGCCAGCAATTACCCATTTCATTCTCACAAAGCCTTCCCTCCCCTCCTCCACTCCTGATCTAAATGAGGGACATCCCATTGTAGAAGTTGATTTGAGCAGGGATGAAAACCTGTGCCTGATGTGCCCATGGAAGATGTGTTGCCCCCCTGTGCTGGCAGCCAGCTCACAGGACCAGCTCTGGGAGATCTTGGAAGGGAGAGGTGAGTCTGCCTCCTCCAGAACTTGTGAAGCAGAGGAGTTCTCAGATGAGTTTTTCAATCCAGCTCCTAGCAGAAGTTTCACAAGCACACACAGATCTTCTGGATTACACCCCGGGCACAAAGCACAAGGCTTGGAGTTGATAAAACCATGAAAAGGAGAGGTTTGTGCTACTCTTCACCCACCTCTTCCTGCTCACCTTGAGCCTTGACACAATAGGTGCAGACTAGAAACCTTGAGCTTTCTCAACCTGTCCCTACTTCAGCCCCAGAAAGTGTTCATTTGTTAAATGCTGTTTATCAGGAAGCAGACAGCACTACAAAGCCCACATCCAAGCAAGATGAAGAGAGAAACTCTCCCGAGCTCCAAGTGCCCCAGTGGTGTCAGTAACTAAAGCCTTTTATCTCCTAGGGGGAACTAAGTGACTTGCCAGGTTTAGATCCACTTGACACCCACAGACAGGCAGGTGCCATGAACCTCTTACCTATTTGCCTGAGCCATCTCTCGGTGGAAAGAGAGCAATCTCTCTGTCTCTTTCTCTTATCTATGTATTGTTTCTATTCTGTGTAGTGCTGGATCATGGAAAACTGTTCTGTCCTACACTATAAGGTTTTGCTTTAAGGTTGTCCCTGTACCTGTGATTCAGAGCTTGCTTTGAAGCAGGTTTGAAGATGTACACTAAATTATTATACTAAATTTTCTCCTATTTTGGCAGCCCTGTGTTGAAAGAATCAAAAATAAAAAAATTAGCTGTGCATTAATTTGAGAGAAATCAAAATGGAAAAGGCAACAGAATTTTTGTTTTGTTAGTCTTTTTTTTTATAGGAGCTCTACTTGCTCTGTGACTTTGTTCACTGTGTCTATAAAATAGATACAATGTCTAACTTGTCTATAAAATAGGGATAATTACATTTTCTTCCGTGATAAAGTGATCTACAGTATATGGATTGATAGGGTACATAAGTTATGCGTTTTTAATATTGAGGGGATAGACCTGTACACATTTCAAGCTTCTTAAGAATTAATGTATCTGTAATAATATAAACTGTAAGGGCCTAAAGCTGAAAGCAGTTATGGATGTTTTTAGTGTATTATTTTTGAAGTTCAATACAAAGCGTCACAAGGCATTACATGTTTCCTGTTTGCAATCAAGGAAAATATTAGAAAATTTAAGAAAAAATAATAAAAAAAAATAAACTCAGAACCCATTCTGAAGGAAAAATTCTTGTTACATTATTTTCTTGCAATGCAGATTATGGGTCAACTCATATTTAATATTATTTATTTGAAGGTAAATATCCTCTGCTCTACAGAAAGAATAAAGGCTCTATTCATGAAAATGTTAGAGCGAGATTGTATCTGAACAACAAAGATATTTTTAAAGCAATAAAATATTAAACATATGCCAGTGTTTTCTTAGATACATAAATGGCCTGATATGGAAGACAGTCAGGTAATAGCTTTCAGCTGTGAATGTTTGCAACAAAATGTGTAGTCATATAAATCTCACTTGGATTGCATTGCACTAGAAAATCAAAATGCAGAACAGGCTGGTTGAAAGAGCTGTTAAAGTTCACAAATCTTTTCAGAAACCCAAGGTTGAGTTGATGTAGGCTGATTTATTAATTTGATTTCAAATTCTGGAAAATTCTGATTTTTGAGAGGATTATGATTTAAAGAAGCACATAAATTAATGTCACAAAATTTCAAAAATTGTTTTTAAAACAAATTTAGATCTCAAACTCACATCAAAGTGTTGTAAGTTCTTTTTAAGGAAATCTGATAATATAAAACTAACACATTTTGCCTATTTCTGGAGTCATTTCTATATCCAAATTGTTTCTAGTTATTAAATATATCATATATGTAAAGAAAGCAAGAACTGCAGAAACCCATGGGCCAAAGCTCAAGATGTTTGTCACCTGAATTTGAGTAGGTATGAGCACAGCCCAGTTCCTTTCTCTGATGACAGAAAGCCATTTTTCACCGTGAGGGTGGTGAGACACTGGACAGGTTGCCCAGGAGGTTGTGGATGCTCCAAGCCCAGCCAGGTTGGACACGGCCTTGAGCAGCCCGGTCTGGTGGGAGATGTCCCTGCCCATGGCAGGAGGGTTGGGATTAGATGATTTTTAAGGTCTATTCCAAGCCCTTACCATTCTATGATTCCATGATTTTTCGCCTCCTGGTAAGGTAGATGTGGTCAGCAAGCACATGTTCACAACCTGCTGTAGAAAATAACAATCATGACTCCCCTGCCAGCTTCCAAATGACTCCACCATCCAGCAAATTCACTCAGAATCTCAGAGCAGGCTGGGCTTCTTGCTCCATGCCTCTGTGGGCTAAGACAGCCAGCAGAACAAAGAAAACAAAAGGCTGTTCAGTGCAGACCATTCATCTGCAAAATGCCAAGTTTCCCACAGCACTTGGCTTCCATCAGCTGCAGCACTTCAGAGTGCACCACACTTATGGATCTTCTTTAGGATACAGCATAGAGTCACAGAACAGCCTGAGTGGGAAAAGACCCACAAGGGTCATGAGACCAGCCCGTGTCCCTGCACAGACACCCCAACAATCGCAGCCTGTGCATCCCTGGGAGGGTGCCCAAACGCTCCCCGAGCTCTGGCAGCCTTGGGGCAGTGCCCCAGCACCCTTGAGGGGATTTCCTAATATCCAACCCAACCCTGCCCTGACACGGCTTCAGGCCATTCCCTCAGGTCCTATCACTGGTCACCAATTTTTTCTGAGTGTCATGAACTTTTTATCCCCTGAGTAGGCCCTAAAATTGATTTCCCAGAATGTTTCTTGTGTGTTTCAAAGTGATTTGGTGCCTCTCTTTTTGAAAGCTTCACTAATAACCCACTGAAGATTTCCTCATCTCTCTATTTGTGAATGGAGTAATATGGAATCTCTGTGGATAGAGACTCCTGAAAAAGAAAAGGGTCTGCTTAGGGTGCTATGACTCCTTATCAAGTATGTAGCAGAAATTATTTTAGAGGACCATTTAATTCTGCACTTAGGTGTTTCTCATTATCAGGCTCTCTAGCACATGGATTAGTAGCAATTCTACTGTTCCAGAGCTTTTGTCATTAACAGCATCCCACCTCCAGCAACCTCTGCTAGTCAATAATAACAGCTTGTTTAAAAATAGCAGCATCAACTTGTTTGCACTGTTATTATCTGTGCATGGCTTATTTCCCCACAAGACTCTTGGATGGTCTCTGGGTCTTCTTTCACTTCCTTTTTCAAAGCATGTTTTAAGATCAGGAGAGAAGACAGACATATTTTTAGCAAATACTGCTAATGTAATTGCAATGCTTGTTACAGTCCCCAAAAGTAAAATACTGCAGTTAGAAGGAGCTGTATATTCATTAGTCAATAAAGTATTACCACACAATTTATTGAATTGTAACCCTATTTTTCCTTGATGAAGATGTTGTGTAGCTTTCACCTTCCTATAAATCTCAGTGATTAATTTAGCATTTAGAGCTGGAGTAAGAAACCCAGGCCAAATTCCAATCCAGACTTCCAGCATCATGTCCTCTCTTCTCACTTCAGACTCACACTCAGGCATTCAATTTCATTCTAACATAGTTTCAAAATTAAATATTGATACAAACAGTGGATTTTGTAGGGTTGTATCTTCCCTACATGCCACTAACTCATTGTCTTTATCCTACAATCTGACAACTACTCCATTCAGGTAGATGCTCTTGTTTGTGAGTACAGAAGGTGATTCAAAAGGCATTGCTACACAGAATAAAGACAATTTATTATGCCAACGTACTGTATCTTCCTCTGTAGATTACCATAAATAATTATTGTAATACTGCACTGCACTGGAATATGTTTAAAGCTAATTGAATCAAAATGAATATACTTTTTATATTTTCTCATGAATTACAGTTAAGCCTTCTATTTTGTGACAGAAACCTAGAATTAAAGCAGAAGAAACAATTAATGTTATAATTATGTGTTTCTAAACTTATATTCAAAAGCATTGGCAAATTATTGTCAGAATATTTGCATACAAGCTGAACAATTAAGTTGTCAGCTGATTCTATTTCTTCTTATTTTTCTTGTTTAACTGGTTAATTTTTTTAATCTATTTTGTTATCAGAGCCAGTCAGAACTTTCAGCACTACTTCATTGCTTAATTTAAAATAGCATCAGTGGAGATACATTAGCAAAAGGAAGAAGAGAAATACATTGATATTTTTAGTATATTTCTCCTACTTTCCAAGTACCTGACAGTTCTGGAAAGTGAATTAATAGCATACATGGCAAAAGAATGGTAGACCTACTGTCAACTGAGAGCTGCAGTAAAACCTTGATTCAGTTGTGCTGGAGGTGGGATTTTCATCACACTGTTAGGCTGTATTTTTTCCCTAGCACAGCAAACTAATAACTCTTAGTTCATTAGAAATATCATTAAAAGATTTCCTTTTTAAATAGGAAGAAACACTTGACCCAAAAGGGTAAATAGTTTGATTCTCATAAATAAAGGGTGAATTTCTCAGTGTTAGGAAAAATGAATAGTACAGCTCCTTTCACAAGAAGAACCCTCTGAAAACAATATCCCAATTTCCTGCAGACACTGTCAAATTGAGATATGTCACACATGAAAATTCAAGCCCATTTCTTGTAGTTTTACTTCTGTGTTGGCCATGACATTTGATGTCTGCAAGAGGAGAAAAATAATCATAATTTAATTTGTGGAATCCACTGACAAACACATTTTTTCTTCCTTTATTTTTTTTTCTCTTTCTTTTTATTTTTTAACCTTGAGTTAAACAATCAGATCTCTGAAAAAGCTATATTTAGATTTTTTTTTTAATTGACCCATTATTTTGCTTGCTTTCACTGCCAGAACCCCCTACTGCAAACAAGGATAAGGATGCTACCTGGACCTCATTTGATGAATAGTTTTAATTAAAATATTCTGTACCATAAGTATTTTAATGTTACAGACAAACCAAAGGTATGTAGTAATAAATTAAATTATACATTCAAATTAATCTATAAATATGCTATAAAATTGACAGGATATTTTTAAGATAGAGAATGAGACATGGATTGCTAATTATGACAATTAAATATCATGAGTAAAAATAAATGACAATCAATATCCTAGAACCATTTTGTAAAAAGAAAAAAGGGAGGAAATATAATATCATTTAGATGTCTATAAAGGTGAAAAATTATTAACAAGTTAGAGTCCTGATTTTTCTATTGTAATAAAATGATAAGCAGTAGAACATTATACTTTTCATCACTGCTAGCCATAAATACTGTGCATATACTGTACTGGCACAATCCATTATGGGACTCTTCTATTTGGGTTTATTATGTTCAAGATAATAACATGTTTAATTTTTACTAATAAAATTTCCAGGGTTTCTGCTCACTCTGAGTCTGATCTAGAAGCCTGTGAACTTATTGAAAGCTTTTTTCTTTGCATTTAATGAATTTTGGATCAGCCTCTGCTTGAAAAAAAAATAAAAAATAGGCACAAAACCCAAAGAAAAGTCAACCAAACAGTAACAAATAAATGCAAGCTGCAGCTGTGCAGTAGTTATGCATGCACAATCAGGGCCTCAGCACCACTGGCTCTTTTTCTGTATGAGGAACCACCCAGGGTTCCTTCCTATTAGCAGATATCTGGCCCAAGCATTAGCTCACATGCCACAGGACACCCACCTGAAATTCTTTCCATAATTACTTCCTCACACCAGAAGAACATTAGGGCCAGCCAAGACACAGCACTGCTTTGTCTGCAGTTTGTGTTAGGGGTACTAAATGTGTAAATTGGGTGGAAACCCATTAAATTACTGTCTCAAAATTGTCTATTTTAATAGTATTAATGTCCCAGCCATGATATGAATTTACAGTCCATCTTCTTCGTGACCATTTATCAAAATGGTAGAGGCAAAAAAAAGTGAAGATAGGACTTTGTTTTTCATCCTGGAGATTTGGCTAATAGTCATTATTATATTCATATTAAAATCCTACTCCATGTCTTTCAATCATACATTTTTCTTCTAATTAAGGCATATTCACTTTTTTGCTAATTAGGTATTCTTTGTTGCACAATGTTTGCTCTAATCTTTTGGAATCTCTCTCAGTATCCAGTCATTGCCTTCATTACTGGCTCCCCTAGAATCCAACCAAAGCATGTTATTTTTTCTGCTAATTATATCCTCATTTACAGATTGTTGCCTTCTCTGATTGGCTCTTTAAACCAGTTGCTATGACTTCATTAGCAATGTCTTCTGACCCTGTTATTTCTTGTGACAGGATTTGCTCCACTTGTCCTGTAGCACTGTATCCCAGGGTCACTCCTCTCCTGGGCTGGAATAGTGTCAAACACGAAAGGTTTAGGGCAGAGAAAATCACTGCTGAAGTTGCTAATTACCACATGCAGCAACGGTACAAATTAATGCTTCTAGCAGTTTAAAAAAAAAAAAAAAAAGAAAAAAAAGAGTATTTTAAAGGTGTCATTAACAGGTTAGTTTTTCATTCATATATGTGCTTGCAAAAAAAAAAATCATTTAGTGTGGTTTTGCTTTCACAATCTCTCCATCAAATAAGTGTCTTAAACCATGTGAGGCTTCTTATAATGCTATATAGCAATAAAATTACTGAATAAAGCATCATTGAGCTCGGTGATTTTAGAAGGCAAGTGTTTCTAAACAGATTTTCCTATTGTAACTTGAATTTCAGAATTTGTAATGTATTAGGATTTGATTTCTAACCTGTCCTGTAGAAATAGTGGTCTCCCTTAAAACAAGGATTACATTTCCAGGCATTTAGAAAAAAATAAGTAATTATACAAGGACAACATATTAAGAGAAAATTAAAATATATGTAACTGCAGTGAAGTACTAATACAGTGCTTATATTAAGCTGGAGAATGGCATGAGATTACAATTTTCATGGGGTACAAACTGCATATTGTGCTAATTGTGTTCCCCACTTTTAGTCTCTTGCAAATCTGAATAATCCATTACCAGAACCAGAGATTCAAGCACATAGCAGAGTTTAATACAAGTTAGTTAATATGAAAAACGCTGTATCTAGTTGTTTGCAAAATTACTTTTGTTGATTAAAAGGCTCTTCAGAACTTCCGGCTTGTGAAAGGGTTTTAAATTGTCTAATGCTGATTGTGATTGCTATGCAGAAAAAAGGCAATGCGAAGCAAACCATTATATCACTGAATCTTTGTTAAGCAGGCCTTGAAAGTGCTTGACAGCATAATTAATCTTGTGATATGAACAAAGAAACCAACTCAATAGTATTGAAGATGCTTATTAAAAATACTAAATACCTTTTTCCACTTAAAAACCTTTTGAAATACTGTGGAAAGTGCCATTACCTTTTTTGTTTTTGCACTACTTTAGTCTAAAATTGATACAAGGGACACATAGCATGAGAAAAAGAAAAAACTGGATGACAATAAAAATTAGTTTGAAAAACAATGCTCCTTGATTTGGGGTGTCAGCTAAGCAACCTCCTAGCATTACAAAAGACTCCTGCATACACACACACAGTGTCCACCGCTGTTAGCTTCAAAAGTTATTTAAAATAATCACTGGTTGTCAGTCATATTACACTTTCAAAGTAAATCTTATTAAAATCATTTATATTTAAATGGATAACATCAATTTTAATTGTTGCTTCTGCCTTACGTGGTGGCTATACCGTATGATACCAGAACAAACCACGCACCTAAGGTTCCCTGATACAGTGGGATGTGTTTGGGGTGCAAGTTAATCCCAAATATACTGAGGGGAGCACTACAAAGATATGGAGAGTGTGCTGTGACAGGGGCTGGTAGAAAATTTATCCACTGCTTGTAACGTGCATGTTTGCAGCAAGCAGAGACAGAGGGAACCAGGCTTTGCAGAGGGAAGCTGCTGACTTTCAGCTGAATGTACAGTCTGTTTTGAAAATTCATTAAAAAATTACTATCATGGAACCTAATGTTTAGGAAAAACACCACTTTTGATGCCCCTCAATTTATTAAGAACCTGATGCTGCAGCCAATGTTAACATTATCTCTTTAAGGCCAATTTATCTGTTTAATTCTGGAAAGCATAATTATGCAACTAGGACTCAATCTTGCAAGACAAACAGAACTAGGGAAAGAAAAAAAAGCAGGCACTGTGGCAGATATAGCCCAGCAATTCTGATCCTTTTTAAGACAGAAGGTTGGTCAGAGTGAGCTACATGACTGGTCACAAGGGCTGGCTGACTGGAGCATACACCAGGAGCCGGCCAAGGAGTCATTCTGGGAGGATCACAGTTTTCTGGGAGATGGCATCTCTGGTTTTAGTCTCCATGGCCTCTTGATGCCATAAAATATGCTCTTCTTGTTTTCTAATAAGGTAAACTGTTCTGTATATCCAGATAAAGAACTGCAGAGCAGGAAGAATACAATGAAAGAACCAAAGCAGCAGCTCTGAACTTCCTTTCAAGCCTATCTTTTTAAGCACTGTATGTTGACTATGCCTACTCGTTAACCTGCCAATCTAAATTTTCTTTCCTGATTCCTGAGCACTGAAGGTTCTTTCTCTGAGCAGCAAAGTTCATTGTGTTATGAAAAGAACCATACTGCACAGTTCTGTCTCATGGCAAATCCTCCACACATAGACAAACACCAAGCACTGACACTATTTTAGACGGTGTGATCTTTGGAGAGAATGCTGCCTTATTTCCATTGAAATTATATGTAGCACAGTGCAGCCCTGCTTCTGATCCAGGGCTGCAGAAATTAGTTAAAATACATTTACCTGGGTCAGTAGTGAGAAATCAGCAAAGCTTAGTGCATCAAGCCCACGAGCAGGAGCCTTCCTTTAAACTTTCCTGATGCTGGCAGTTGCAGTCCTCCATGAAAATGCCAAACCTATTGACTAAAATACAGGTCAATTTTGCAGGTAAATACACCTTACTTTGTCCTACCTTCAAGTTTTTCAGTACTCTCCAAAGACATTAAAAGCTGTGTTTCATTTAAATAACCGTGAATCAACTCTGAGGCTGATTGTCCTTGCTCAGGCAAGGCTTCCTGTGACATATGGCAATCTTGCCTGAGCACAGACAGTGTAGGAGGCTCTGATGGCAATCGTTACTGCAATTAGCAAACCACACTACCATATACATGTTTTACTTTATCGTTCCGATTCTAAACACTGGACCTTTTCTTGAATCCTCTATGTACAGAACTCCCATTAATTAAAATCAAGCAGCAAGAAATATATAAAAAATCAATGGTAGAATATGACTCATGTTATTTAATTAATGGGTAATTCCTCGCGTCAATATGCTGAGAAAGCTTGAACTTAACCTTTAGGATTAAAAAAATTCACCATGTGAGAAAATTTGCTTTTTCTTAATCATATTTCTTCTTAACAGATTTTAAAAACACACGTAAAATCTGTTGGCAAAGTGTTTAAGTACATACAATCCCTAAAACTGTAAGTAAACTATTGCTATCTGTATCAACTTAGATAATGGCAGAATCAAAAACCACCTACAGGTGCACACATACAGGAACACACAAAATGCTGCAGTGCCTTCAAATGAGCACAACATCAGCCCACCACCTACACCTTTCTCCTCTTTCTGTCTTTCCTCATCCCTTTTCTTCAAAATTACCACACAGGTGTCATTTGATGAGCTATGTTAAGTCTAGAAGCACATGGAGACAAAGTCTGTATTTCATAATATCTCAGCAATATGGGTTTTGGCCTTAAGGGTACATTCATTCAAACAAGAGAATAGCAGTAAGAAAGCCCATGAGCAAAATCTTAGAACCTCACAAAAGGAGATGTTCATTCAGGGGTGAACATTTTATTTCAAGTTTAATAAATTTCATTTTCCAAGAATTGCCAACTCACACAAATTTGTCACTAATCATCAAATCGCAGATCCTTTCTTTCCTGCTCACAATGCTAGGATAGGCACTCCATTCCTCACTATCAGTTAAAGTGGTTTACTTTCAGCTACTGCAGTTTTCCCTCAGTTTAGATAGTTACTTCCTCCTGGTTCTTCCTGGAAGCTGTTAAAAATCTTGCATCTACATTGTCCTAACTTACTAAAGGCAAAAACATCCCTCTTATCCATAGAGGTCTGAAGCATCACTAATGGTGGAAGGATCATCAGGAAGCCTGAAGACAGCCTTGGAATCCTTACATGCCCTCTGAAGGACTCTGCTTGGGGAGCCCAACATCCAAAATCACCCCGGGCTCACAAAACAAGGCTTGATCCATAATATTTCCTTGTGATACCCTCAGTGTCATTCTCTTTTACTTTAAGAACTATTTATAAGAAGGCAAGATGCGGATCTGTTTTTTTTAACCTTTTATAGTGACTTTAGACACCAAAACAGTCATTCTTGCCACTTACTCAGGGGGAACTAGAGGGACCTTTTGAAGCTCAGGGAGTTGTTTTCTTCCTTTGGCACCCAGACATGCAGATTCACTGGGAGGGAGTAATCAGATAACTGAAACTACAGACAGCGGACTCCACTAGACCCCTTCTAACCCATTTTAACCTCATTTTTCTCTATAGCCAGGACTGGAGACTCACGGCAGGAAAAACTTCCCTGTTGTGAACAGCAAGTATCCTGGGTTAAGAAGAGGAGCTGATGGATGCTAGGCCTGGAAAAGCTGCCACAGATAACAGATGAAGGGCAGAAGACTTTTATTTTCATTTTTATTTAATTTTTTTTTCCTTGAATCTTGCAGGGAAAGACACAGTCTATATTATTTTGTAGCTTTTTGCACTTTGTTTACCAGCCCAGAGGTAGGATTCTTTATCCAGGTATGAACAAGGGCCCCCAATTTTGTGTGCATATTTTTTCCACAGGTAGGGCTGATGCTATGGGAGCAGCCTCTATTTCTCAGGCACTTTGAAGTAGAACATGACCAGAACAGTCTGTGTTTATATTCCTGGCCTTGAAGGATTTTGCACCAAAGGATAGGTGCACCAAAAGAGGGTCAATGAGTGTATTAAATCTGGACAAACCTGAAGCATTCCAGATGCCCCCACCCCAGTCAGGGGGGCTGTAGCTATGACAAGCCTTGTGCCCAGCCTGAGCTGGCTGCAATAACAAAGGAGCTGCGTGAAAATAGTACCTAGGAGTGAATTTTCACTGCTGTATGCTGACTCCAGTAAACTGGGATCTGTTATGTATTCTGAACGCACCTTGACTAATATGTGCTGGCTTGTATGTGAATGTCTCCTGTTTGTTGTGTTTTTGGTTTTTTAATTCTCCTAATGGACCAGGCTGCCCTAGGAATGTCATTATATGCAGGACTACATGATCATCAGTACACTCTCAGTGCGAGGCAATGCAGCTTGTTTGTACTTGACAATAAGAAGTTTGTACAGTTAGGCCAAGAATTTCTGTGATTTAGAGCACCTTTCTCAAAGTTCTTAGTTCCAACATTCCCTTCCTCTTGGAAAGCTGAAGAGCAAGGCCACCCAAACATTCCCTGTTCCTGGCAAGAGTGACATCAGAACATCTCAGTGCAAGACAAGAGTACTTCATAAAAGACACATTTTTCAGTCACAGTCCTTTCACACAGTGGAAATGAGGACAGACAGTATCAGAGGACTCACAAGATGAGAGAAGGATGAAGAACCTCAGTAAATCTTCCTCTGGTCAAGCCCTGACATTTGTAAAGTATGCAGACAAATAGTACACCTCATCTTATTCCTCATAGTCACCCTTCTTGGACCAACAGTAAACCACAGTAAACACAGGAAGTTTGGATCACATCAGCCAGGGAGAAGATAAATTCCTGTTGTATGACTGCATCTCACAATGGGAGCACTTTTTTCACTGGTGGCATATTCCAACCTGTATGGCCTGAGCAGAACTGGAGGAAACTATTCTTGGCAAGAATGACTGTAAAGATGGGGAGAAATTATTTTTAAAAAATTAAGTAATGAAAAAGTAAGGAAAAGCAATTTAGTGTTTCATGGCTTGTTGAAACAACAAAGGGGGTTTAGGATCATAGAGCTGGAGGACTAGGAGGATCAAGAACCCAAATCTGGGACAGAACTTTCTGAACACAAGAAGTGTTGAAAATGGTACATGGAAAAAAAGGTCACTAAGAACAGCAACATAAACATAGCTGGAAATTGGTAGAGTGTTGTAAGAGAAACAGAGGTAAAATGAGAAGCTAGAAAGTACTAATTCTGAAGATGAAAACTGAATGAAATTATAGCCTATGTTAACTGCCCAACCTTCCCTTTCTCCCTAATCACTTTTGGATTCATTGCCCTATGTGACACAGCATAATTAGAGGTAATTATAGCAATACAGATTTCATGAAAATTAGCTGTATGAAGAAAGACCTCTACAGCATCTCTACTACGTGTAGAAAAGGCAGACACACTACTTTCTTCCATTTAGCAGAAGTCAACTGGCCACTCAGCTCCCACCTACTCCCAGCACTGCCAGACCCTGCCCAGCCATGGTGGGGTGAGCAGAGAAGATAAAGGTTTTATGCCCGAGAGGTCAGGCCTCATTTGTTCTCCTGTTCATGAATGCATCATGATATTCTATTTAAATGTGAAGACTTTTAAGTGAATTATGAGTTGAGAGCTTTACTTCACATGCAAACAATAATGAGAGCTCATTTGTTTGCCACTAGAATTCTAATTATTCTAATGATCTGCTTTTTAGTTTACTATTGTAGACTGGAAATTATGAAGGGGAATTTACTTTTGATTAAGATGAGAATGAGAGAACATAGTCTCAATGATTTATGTGCTTTCGAAGTTTGACAGAGTATAAATTTACTGGTTTCCATGAAATTTCAGTTTTAGAATTAAAGATACAAGATAATAATGTGAATTGTCACTTAGAAATTAACTAATTCTTCAATTAATTGCAAAACTTGAAAAAAGTAAAATTCCTCTACATTCTGAGCTTCCCCCCATGCAATAAAAAATTGTGTCAGTAGTGTCTAAAAATTACTCATAAATGCAAATCTAACAAATCCTGAAGGAGCAGTCTTACATAAGAACAAGCTGAGCTTTTAAAAAGCCCACGATTAACAGCACAAAAACATGTGCAAAGATAGGAGACACATTTTTTTTTCCTACTCAAAATATAGCATATGCCATTTCTAGTGACGATGTTTGCATGCTATCAGAAGTCAAAGCAATTAAGAAATTTTTCAAGATCACTGCTATGTGCAGAATTATATTTACATTGGAATGTATTTGAGACACCATTCTAACAATATCTTGAATTTTTCACTGAAAGGTCAGCTGGTACATTCTGTCCACACCCAGAAAATCATAGGTCAAATAGGATCTGAACTCAAGGTGGGAAATTCTCAAGTACTGTCTTTTGATGTTTGATAACAGGTCAGTAAAGAAGACAGACAACCTTCTAGAGGTGCAAGAAACACAGATTTAACCATTACATGATATCTCATGTATGGACATAATGTGTTTTGAGTTACTATAAGTAAAATGAGCAGTATGGAATATGCATTGCAGTTAAACTGATTGCTGAGCAAGGCTTCTTGCCATTCACACACATAGGTAGGAGCTGTTCACCATGATTCAGATGTAAAAGAGGAATTTAAGGACAAAAATACTTGGTACATCCACAATGCAAACTCCGACATCATATAATTGTGCTGGACAGCTCAAGTTTTAGTTATTTAAATTAGTGAGACTGATTAAACACTGATTATAAATTTAGAAGTTAGCTATCCAAATTTATAGATATTTTAAAAGGAAGGGCTCATCAAAAATCAGTATTCCAGCACAGAGGCCCCCTGCTTGTAGCTCTGGCTTATTGGTGAGCAGTTCAAGAGAAAACAAGGGGTTTACACCAGAGCTACCCATAGATCTCAGTTGTTTACAGAAGAGATGATCTTCCCAGGTAACTGCCTGCACTCTCTACTTGAAATACATCTCCACTGGTAGAGCAACAGATTGAGTTTGATGGATATTCTTGTTGCATTCTGAGGTGTGAAGAAAAGGCCTGAACTGTGCATATGCTATAGAAGACAGTTTTCGCTATTACTTCTGGTGGCTCATTGTAGCTGTTACTGCTTTGTTCACAACCTTTGCACTCCGTGATGTCTCTTGAAAATACAGCATTTATTTCACTGGTTGCTTTCAATTAAAGTGGCATTTCTGCTCTGAAGAAAAATCTGCAAAATGCCATTTGACTCAGGGTTTTTTTTTGTGACTCCCAAGCGAATGTGTTCATTTCATGTGTGTAAATGTGAATGCCAGCTACACAGGCACAACCTGAGAGCTGAGCTGGTTCTTTTCTTTGTTGTGTCTTTGTGATTGTGCCCTTAACTAATTCCTGGGCTGCCTCAATGTAATTGCTTGTACACAGATGTGCAGAAGGTAAAAAGAATGGATATAATCCATCTTGTTCTACCTTAGTGGTTTTGTATCTGTGGTTAAACAGGAATATAAACAAGTTAAAAATAAAAAGTTTGGGTTTTTTTTATAAAACAAGCAGTTAGGTATGCAGGAACACATACACCTAGATGTGCCAAAACAGTATTTGCATGACAAGTTTTAAAAAGTTGAATTTTATTTTAAAGTCAGGAAGGATCACATAGTTCATGAGAAGGTTGTCCATGAATGTGAAACTGGGTGGGTTTTTTTTTGTTTTGTTTTTTGTTTTGTTTTTTTTTTTAAACTCAACTTTTATAAATAGGTAAAATACAACAATATTCCCTATACTGCAGATAGAAACAACTGCAAGCACCACTTGGTATAAGGAATCTGAAAGCAACTTAAGGCAGAGAGGATGGATAAAAACTGGATACAGTTACATCTGTACCAAAGGCAGATTGGATCTTAAATCCTCCAGAATATCTTCATTTTCCATTTCCAGGTATTCCCTGAGCAAAGACATTTCTGAAGAATATCCCATCTAACCAAGACTGATACTTTTCTTCACATTAATCAGTTCTAATCATCCCACTTGGATGGCATGAAAAATACATTTTAAAATGAAAAAAATCCAGTAGGAGTTGGAAAGGACATTTCTGATGTATTCCCACACAAACATAGAGAATCTTTACACAGAGCTGTGCTCAGTATCAGAATTTCTCAAAACCTAAACATGCTGACTTTATTTCTTAGAACAAACTGGGGATTTTTAGAGCTGGTTTAAGGGTTTGATGATTGTGGGAGAATTGGAATAGTAAGTCTATTTTAACTTTCTATTTGTACCATCATAAAAGGCATTCTGTAGAAATGAATACTTATTCAATTGAAAAGCTATTGATGGCATAAATAATTAAAAACAGGAGTATGAAAAATATGGGTGGCATCATACATACTATAGATACCTAGTGCTGTGTGATATCGCTTATCACAATAATTTTTAAGTTAATTTTTATTAGACACACATAATTTAAATATTTAATTCAATACTCCAGTTTTCACAACACAGTTTTTAGGGAAATTGTACATGAGGCACTTGGTTTTATAAGTCTGAATCTAGACTTGGTTGTTTTGGCATCCAGGTACTCCATGCTAAGTGACACTAAATCTCTTTAGCCTCACAGATCAGTAATTTTTTCCCCTGTTTCTTATACATGCATTTTTATGTCTCTCCTACAATTTCCTTTATGGGTGAGCAAGACAAAACTGACTGCCTGGAATATTGCTCAATGTGTATTGAGATTACAATAATTCAGTTAAGCACAGGTCCATATATCTACCATAGGATGCTCCTCCGGATGTTCCTGTATTACTTTCCCACATAGCAATTAAAGCAGCTTTAGGAATAGCTTGCCATATATTTACCTTGAATGGACTGCATTCTAATAGAGGTCAGCTGCAGCCATGAATTTTATGCCCACTGTATGAAAGAGCAATATCAGTCCATCTATGCTGGCTAAAACACTCCTGCTGAGCAGATGGCTGATTCACTGTCTTGCAGATTCTTCATGGCCAACTTTTAAGCGTAGTGACTTGCCACTAATAAGACACAGGTGCTGCTGTAGAAGAACATGATGTTCTTTCATATTTCAAAACAGCATTTCCACTCCAAAAAATACCAGTGAACAGTTTCTGAGATGTTCAAAAAGAATATCAGCTGATCCAGAGGATTCAGCAACAGCAGTAGAGGAAAGGTTTTGCTGTAATTCCCATAAGGATTTTAATTACACTGTTTTGTCTTTTCAATTGGAGACAGCATTTCCTATTGAACTGCTATTATGGTATTGACAACTCAGGTGTTCAGCTTTATTCTTTTGCACTGAGCAAGCAAATTACTTCATATTTATATCCTGAACTAACATTTCAAGAAGCTATGAATGGATTGATGCTGCTGTGGATATGTTACCAACCCCTAGCACTTTGCTGTTGAATGTAACACTAACCAAAACCAGCAGCTGCCATTTCTTTTCTGAGCCACTCTAAGAATGAAATACCTTCACAAGGATTTTTTTTAAATATCAATTACTATTATTTTGTCACATTAGAAAGCATTTTAGAGCAGGATTCATCTGCCCAAATATAGATGAAGCCATCTGCACCTGAGCTACTTGTGAGGGCTCCCTTTATAGTCACTGGAGAGAAACAGACACTTTTAGAGTGCAATTGATCTTCTCTTAAGATTGACAGCAACACTGTAGACATCTAAAGTTGGATGAGATTAATAGTGTCCCCAACATTTGTTAAATTATGCAAGATTCTATATAAATAGAAGACAAAGTCTCTTCCCTAAAGAGCTTTCATCTTCAGTCAATACATTCCCAGAACTGAGCATCTAAATTGCTTGTCTTTGTCAAGTGCCTCCCTTTGATGTTATTCCATAAGGTGTTCTCTGGTTTTCCTGGACAACCACAGCACTCACTTGAGAAAGCAATACATTCAGGACAGGGAGCAAAAGAATTGCCAAGAGCAGCTCTGAGAGCTATTTTTCCAGAATAGTGATAGGCAACTTTTTGAAAAGTTTTTATTTATCTTTTTAGAAGTGAGTTGTATTTTGTCAATTTTTACTGACAAGCTGGTAAGGCAAGTACTTCAAAGTAGAATGAAGAACACTGTTTGCCTTCAAGAGCCCACTCTTCCCACATATGCTGATTCCTCTGGGAAGACAGCAAAGTGAATTAGTGGCTTCCTCCTCTTCACTACGCTGTGACATGCATGCACGTACACCAGCACAGAGATTATGGGAATCAGAAACATTTTCCAGGTCTTGGACACAGCACTGAAGAAGCAGGAATCACAGGCAATAAAGACTTGGCAGTAGGCTTAAGCTGAACGTTATCACCACTCCTTTAGTTAACAAAACTGCAGCTCAAGGGGAGGGCACAATTGGATTTTCTGAGGTAACCAGCTGATTTTAGAGGAGAACTAGAACAGTATCTACACTCACATGGAACACACTATTAGAATATTGGAAAAGTAAGCTTTTTGGTGCCTTGCCTTGTAACAAATTAACAGGAAAGTTCTGGGTATTTATAACAATCAAACTCTTACAATCCAGTTTCTAAGCCAAAATCATATTTTATGTATTGCTATCATAGGAGATCAAGGTGTTTGAATGAAGTAAAAGCTAAATTCTGAATCGCAGATCTGCACCACTAAAGTGCATATGAATATGGGAGATATTTATCTTAGATTTTTGTTATAGAAATACTAAAATACAGCCATCTATGTCCATATTTCTGTGGAGTACATGAATGACTACAGAATTGTTATAATTAACATTAAAAAGTGAGATGAAAAGCACAATAAGCTTCTATGTAAGGATCAGAGAGAGGGAAATATTTCCAGGTCCAGTAAAAGAAAGAAACAACAAAACAAAACCAAAAACCAACCAACTAAAACTTTGCCTGTATGATCCTGAATAATCAATCTCATTACTCTAGAAAAATTTCACAACAGTGTGCAACTACTTCAAAAAGATTTCTGTTACACGACTCCCATTATCGTTGAACATAACTTTGAACACCAGACACAAGCTGTCCTTTCACAAAGTTTCACAACAGTCACTATTTTTCCTCTTGTATTTTTCCCATGCTGGCTTCAATAAAGCTAAGCACAACTTATCTCAGAAGTCTTTTTGTAAAATTTTTGTGAATTCCAAAAATTAAAATTTTGCATTCCTTAACTTACCCTGCTGGGCAGGTGCATTAAAAGCCTACTAATATTTTGTTTATAACAGCTGGGAAAGACATTTCTTTTAGTTCAAAGAACTTCCTCTCTGATAGACACCAGACAGGCAGTTTCCCAATGAGTTATACAGAGACTGAAGCCTAACCTGTGGGAGAAATAAGCAAATCACTTGCTCACAGATGAGAGGTAACTTTGTCCAGAAGCACATCAGGTTTATCAAGTCAGTGCAGGACAGGTCTAATTTGCTGAGCTGGACTCTAGAAGATGTAGAAAGCTGATTATTCTACTGAATACAAGGTATCATAACTAAAATAAACAACTCAATAATTATAGTATCTACAATAACAACTTCAGGATAAGGTGTATTTATACATCTCAGTAAACAAGCTAAACCAAAGCCCCAGAATTTTTAAAGATTTTTTCCTACTTCTTATATTTTGTCACTGGGCAACTAGTCTAGAGAGAACATTCTTGTTCAGTGCCTACAATCTCTTGGATGCATATTTAACTATTCAAATTTAGCTAACATACTATTTTTACTAAAATATAAAGCAAAACAAGATCTCAGTCACAGCCACAAAATCTTTTTTAATGTATTCCTTGTGCTACTTCTGAATATTAATAAAAATTAATAATTAATTTTGCCTTTGGCATTGCAAGATATACTAGTTTTAATTAGTGTACTGTACTCCTATACAATTAAAAAATAATTGATGTCCACACTTATTGGCGGTCTCTGTGATCTCTTTTCCTGTTGTTGTCAACAAATGCCTCAAAAAACAAGTTCAAGAATGTTTTGCTGTCCACTTGATTTACACACCAAAAGTAACAGACAAATCTTTTATGATGAAACAGAACAGTTTTCTGTTTAAATTATACACAAGTATATTAACTAGAAAGAAAAAATTAAAAGCTGATGGCTCAAAGAAATAATGGAAAGGCTACCAAAATGTTTAGTCTATCAACAAATTTGCCTGGAATGTATCAGTAGTTGACAGTATTTTAACTTAAATGCAGTGGCCATCTTGTATTTGTTACGTCAATCCTATTGAGCCTTTAATGCTGGTGTCCCTCTTGATCAGTTTCAGTTATTTAAATTCAGCATATCATGTTGTTGTTCTCCTACATCACATTAATTGTACCATGAATTATTTCATTATATAACACTAAGGTCTCTCTTTCTCTCAAGAACAAGTCAAAGAATTAAAGTCTAAAATCCCAAAGGGAAAAAAAAATCTAACTTCCCTTCAACATATTTGCATCAGGATCTTGAATAAATATAAGTGGGGTTTTTTTAATACAGACACTGAAACAAAGACATTGAATCCCAGATGTAAATTCTCCAGCACAATTATGAAACAGAACAAAATACTCATATGGCAAAGAAAATCTCAAACTGACTATTCCTTATCTAAGCCAAAAGTCCATGCTTGTAATTTGAATTTGGGTCAGAAAATGTACCCAGAAGAGTCATTCTGGGGCATGACAAAAAGCTAACTAAAAATTGTTGAGCTTATTTTTTCAATATCACAGGAATACACACCTAAAATTTCGGCACAGGACAAGGGCCAGATAAACAAATAAGCAGAAGAACAAAAAGGATTTAGACAACATGGAACTATTTTTTTTTCTTCATCTAATCCACATGCTTGTAAAGTAGTGAACATGAAAAATCAGCAAATCTGATATTTATTTAATTAATGCTTTTATAATGATTAATGATCTCAATAGTTATTTTAGCTAAAAATGGATAATAATTCAAGTAATGCATTTAAACAAATATCACTGAAGAACTGAGAGTATTAAAAAGTACATTCTTATTTCTGAGGATTTTTCAAAGTTACTTCTCAACAACTTTTCTGGCATGGCACACAGAAGTCAGTGGCCTCAAATGAGAGGAATTCAAGTGTTTCTTTGTGTGATGGGAGGAACATCAAATCAGTAAATTCCCTCTGAGGTGTGAGCTGTGTGGGGGATCCCCATGCTCACAACATGGGCAGCCTGGAGAAGTTGAGGCTGGAACTGGATGGTCTTGAAAGTCCTTTCCAGCTCCAGCCTTTCTGTGAGTCTGCAAGGCCCAAACCACTGGGCCTGCTGCTCCTCCTGAAGGGGTGAATGCCTCTGTTACCACCAAAAAACTCCAGGAGCTGCTTATTTTGGAGCAGAAATCTGCTGTAGATTTAGTGGCAAATCTTATGACTGAGATAAAACAAACAAGAAAACAACACAAACCAATAGATCAGAGACACAGACATCCTACCTCAGGGAAAGACTGAGAAGCCTGATGGCCCTCACCGCTGCTGTCATGCTGCCAAGCAGCTGAGGTTTGCTGTGGGAAATACAGGACATCTGGAGACCTGCCAGGTCAGACAGCACCAGGAGCCTTCTGTCCCTCTGCCCCTGGATCCCCTGCACTGACCAGGGATGTCCAGCACTGTCCAGCATTGCCCAGCACTGCCCAGCACTGCCCAGGGGCTCAGGCTGGCTCTTGGCTTCATGGACACCCCCCACCTGCCACCACTTGAGGGGGAGGCCATGCTCCCCACAGCTCCCCAACGCATCTCTTCACAAAACATCAACACTGCAGGAGCCTTTTGCCTTTTACACAAGTTGAAGCTCCTGCCTGATCGGGATTTTTCTCCCTTCAGTGTAGCTACCCAGGAAACAAATCCCCAGAATCTCCAGAGCGGTCTGCTGGCTCTCACAGATCCGTTGGTTGTTCATCCAGGCCCTCTGCATGGCACAGGAGAACTCAGACACCTTTCACTCCCCCATCTCACCAAGCTGAAGGCTTGGGGTGCCTGAAAAGGCAAGATGAAGCTACATAAAAACTTCACCTTTTCATTAATGGCAGCCAAGAGACCTTGAAACCTCCCCTGGCTGTAACAACAGCACACCGTGGGCCAGCTACCACCACCTCTGCAAGTGATCATGACTGCAAACTTTAAAAGCTTTAATGCTGTTTCATTAGGTGGATTTGTGCTAAAACCGAATAACTGGGAGATACTGCTTCCAAAATTCCACTTTCTAGTCAAATGCCTGGGGTCTCAACATACAGCTTAGTAATTCTGGCACTATTTCTGACCTCATTAAAGCCACAGGAACTGCAGAGCAAGTTTATCAAGTAGGAATTAAATAGCATGGGTGGGAGTGAGATGTTTTTATCAAGTTTGCTTGAACTTCCAAAATTCGTCAGAAATTTCAACTGGCTAAAAAGATTAAAGAAACATGGATAAGAGTCACATCTGACCAGATAAAGTCAGTAAAGTGGTAAACTGTAGACACTTAAATTCTGCTTAACATGAACGCTTACATTCCTTTGAAATTTTTGTACTCTATGGATTCTTTCAAATTTTTTTCAACAGTTTTAAATTTCAGATGTTGCAAGTTCTGTTTGTATCATAGTGTCACAGTTACAACTAATGCAATTCTGAACAATGAGCCTATAAGCACTAACAATAAACTTGCCTTTTAACCTTCCTCATTATCCTCAGTTCAGGGCAGAGTAATAAATGTAATCCAAAAACAACTACTGCAGAAGGTCTCAGTATCCCAGCCAGGGCTCCAGAGGTCTGCTCCTAGAAGTTTTGATTATAAAACTCTTCTCTCCCTCTCATCATATATTTCTTTCCAACCCTCCCATAGATGCAGTCCTGAACTGGATGCTTTTCCCTTTTTATTTATGTGAATTCTCATGACATGTCATGCAGCACATTCACAGCAATCACTGGCAGATAGTTAAAGTTTCTAACTGGCTACAGGGGAAACCATTTTCCACCAACTGTTCTCCTACATGCCAGGATAAAATATATCTTGTGGACTAAATCTCTTCCCACTTGTATCCTGCCAAAAAGTATGGGTTTTGTTTTTTAAACGAGGCTTGAATGAAATTCCATTAGCTATTCCTGAGCCATGGCAGAATGACTATTCCAGCATTAAAAAAAAATAAAAATCTAACTACAGATAACTGAACTTGTCTCAAACATGAGCTGTTTTCTGGAAACATGACATGGGAATAGGCTTTAGTATAATGGCAAAGTTATTTGTTTTGTACAATCCTCATTGAATCAAAAGCAGTTAAAGACCACTTGAAACCATAAGGTATGTCAGTGTCTTAGAAAAATATTTTAGATCAGCTGGGATGCTTTAACCATAGAAGTCTTCTTCATGGATGGATGACTACATCCATTAGCTTGCATGCTTTACAATCCATCAGAACTCAGAAGTTATTCCAGAATTGCTGTCATCACTTTTTAATTTTTGATATGCCTTTTCAGTATAAGAAACAAAAAATATTTAAAAATAAAATCAAAAGCACCATTTTTTTTATCCACATTATATTTTTATGATGCTTTATACTGTTTCTTTTGGTTTGGAATGCTATATCAATGTAAGCAGTGACAAGTGAGAGATTTTTATATTTAATTTGTTGTAGATAATGAATGTAACTGGACTATATAAGTTTTCACACAGGCATGGTAAGAATTACAGCATATTTCCTTTAAGCACAGAACACACAAAAAATTTAGTCTTTCTATTGCTATTGAATTGATTTTAAGCCTTGAACAACTGAGGGAAAAAAAAAAAAAAAGAAGAATTTTAACCTGGCTGCAGTAAATCCAAATTTTGTTGATGCTTGTTCTTGATGCATCCAAAAGTATATTCAGCATTCTAGTCTTCATGAACCCTGGAAGATTTCAGCTCATGGTTTCCTACATGGTTCACCTTAATTCTTCATATATTTTTTCTACAGATACAATACTGAGAGCTGGGAAAGACAGGGGGTAGCAGCCTCACCCTCCATCCTCAACCATTGCAGATGACTCTGGGAAGAACAAAAACCACATGGATAACCATCTTTCTACCCAAACTCTGCTCTGATCCCCCCTTCCCATAGCTTGGAAAGAAAACTGGATTTTCTCCAAGGCTAGACAGGTGGCAGGGAAATATTTTTTGGTTAATTACCTCAGAATGCTGGGAAAGGTGTGCTGCTACCTCATGTCTGCATTGCGCTGCCTCACACTGGTAATTAAGCTGATCAGTACTGGTACATCTACCCACCAATCAAAGCTGGATATAAGGGATATTTTGAGGAGACAAAGCATAAAGCAGCATTGAATTAAGAGTTTGGGTAATCAAGATGGCACATGTTCTACTTGAAAAATAAGGCCAATCCTTCCAAAAGAGGGACAGCTGGCATGCTGAAAGTCAATCTTAACCACAAGAAATGCATTTCTTGCTTTAAGAGTCACAGTTGGGGCCTCTGTGCAGGCTTGTAGCTAATGAGTTGATAATGTCTCCTTCAGGAGAAGGGAAAAAGGCCACTACTCAAATTTTTCCTTGATTCCTCTTCATTTGGGATCCTGGCAAATCAAGGTTAGTTTTAATATTTTTATAATGACCACTCTTGCCAATAGTGGACTCAGTGACAGGCACACTGAACCCAGTCTTAAATTAAACACAGCTTTATAAATGAAAAATTTGAGACAATACTTAAGTGGTTTAACTGAAATTAGGGAAGCCATGTGCTTTTACACAGCATGCATGTTTTCAGCATTGCAAATGTCTCACTGTTTCAGAACACTCGACTCACCCCTCACATTGTAACACTCTTGAGCACATACAAATTTAACCACCATTATTTTTAATGCACAGTTTTCTGTAGGGAATACCATAGCAAAGTCGATTTTGTATCATTAACAACAGAAAGATTTTCTGCTATCAGTGCTGCCAAAAAAATGCAGCCTCATGGATTTCTGTAAAGATAAGTATGAGAGATGTTCTCTGTATTTCTTAGAGTAAATAATGTGCTACCCTGCCGAATCCACACAAATGTGAAAACAAGCACAAAGATGCAAAGTTAGGGACTTTCTTAATACTTTCCAGAAGCTGAATAATTTGGCCTAGGCAGATGTATGTGTGTGGCACCTAATGCTTACTTTACCTGCAATTTGCTGCAAGTATCTCTAGAAGCATGTGTGCACGAGAAGAGCCAGCTTAGTTTCCAAGCCTCACAGAGGACCAAATTACACATTTTCAGTTATTTTTTTCTCATTAACTCAATACATAAAATTAACTAATTTGATAAACTTAGGCAGACAACTAAGCATGCATGTTTTTGTAAAACTAGCCTTTAACTGCACCTAACCTGACAATGCCTTGACTCACATACAATCTTACTATGTAAGATATTTCTACAAACACATTTCCAAGGGGCATAAAAGTCAAAATGAAGCAGAACTTAAGACTAGTCAACAGTATTAATTGAAGTATTCATGGGAATTTTCAAAACATAAATCAAATGAATAAATTGAATCTAAACTATTACTCCCAAAAAATTTTACTCTAGAAAAAAATAGTTGCTTACAATGCTTTTTGAAGACACATTCCTGCCAAGTGTGTTATGAGCCAGCCTGAATCCTAAAAAAATAAGTAATTCCAGCATTTTTTGAATTTAACTCTTAAAATAAAAATGGTAAAATGTAATATAAATTTTAAGATTTGCAAGTTTAGATCAGAGTCCAATTCTGACGTGCAAATGTGATGCAACTTGAAACACTGCTAGGCCGATTTTCTAATAAAAATGAACAATATAATCAAATAAATTATATGAGGTCATTAAAACTATTAAAGTCATTCATCAAACAGAAAACAGATCTTTTGATTTTCAGGGAAATGCGAAGACTCCAAACATCCCTCTGCAAACTCTTTCATCATTTCAGTAACTTTCAACATGAGTCCATCCTTGTCTGTATGCTGCTCCTGCTCCTCCCCCACTTCTCTAATAGTGTTCAGAGAGAACTTCAAGATGTGGGCTAATGGAGCTGGCATGGGTTGGAGTTTAATATTGCATGTACTTAACTTTTTGTGCAACTGACCAACATGACATGTCTAACTGTATAAATGGAAGTTTTATGGTGATAAGATCAGTAGTTACTGAGATATTTATGTGACATGCTGACAGATATAAAACTACAAAGCTTGCTTTTATGCCTTACATCCTCTAGAAAAAAATAAATACTAAGATGATGGGTCACTTTGAAGAGAATTTATTATCTAAATTACCTAATACCTGGCTAAGTTCTAATATGCAAGATGAGGTCTCAAAAATGCTATTAAAACCATGGACTTTAATTTCAGAGGATCTTAGTATTCTCTGCCAAATGGGGCAGAGTACAGCCAGTTTTCTTGTCTCACTCTCTCTCTAGATCACAGTGCTGTCATCCAACCAAAAAGGAGAACGATGACAAAAACCAGAAAAAGGCACAAGATAATCTCTCTCCAGTTTTTACACTCCATAGGTTTAGGTCTCTCAGGGAGATTCCCATCACTGCTGAGGTGGAGGAGGAAAGTCTTCCTCTGAGGAGAGAAGGTCAAGATTAAAGAAAATATATTATTTTTGTATGTGTGTGTATATTAATCTATATACCCACACACATATAAGTATAATCTCTGGATGGAGTCTCTTTTACATTTTGATCTGGGAAAACCAGCCTCAGAAATTCTTACAGAACAAGAAGACAATGTTTCCTGCTGCTAGAAAGCAGCTCCCCCCAGCTGTGCCCACAGCTGAAGTTAAAAGCCTGCTCTACTTCCTTCTTTATTTGATGTGAATGGTACTTCACACACTGAGGAGGCAGCAGCCACAGCAGTAGGTGGAAGAAGGGGGAATAACCTGGTGGCAGCAGAGAAGGGAGAAAAATAAAAATATTTTTAAAAAGGCTTAGAGACTTGTAGGGAAACACAAGGCCAGAAGGAAAGCAAAACTTCAGAAGGCACAAGTATCAGTATGCAAAGATTACTGACCCTGAGAACAAGATAACTCAGAGGACAAAAGAATCATCAGACTTGGAGAAATACAAAACATTTGGCTGTGCTGTTACTTTCCCGTGAGCTCAGACCCTTCCACAACTGAGAGGATTTTCAGTGCCCTTCAGGCCCACCTGATATCTCCTATATGATATCTCCTATCCCAATTTGTTGTTGTGCACACTTCCCAGACGGATGATGAGGGAAAGCAAAATACCTCTGTAGTGCCTCAAGGATCCCCTCTTCTCACCCCCTCTAACTCTCCACATCCCTGTGACACTCATTCCCGCTGTGCCTCCCACATCCAGACATCAGAAGGAAGATTCACACACTCCTCCATACATCTGCCACAAACATCCGTGCTTCGTCTATCTCCAGACGTGACAGATAGAACAGTTAATCTCAGGCAGAGAAGACATCTTTTATTTAGTTAATCCAGAACTTTTGTTTTCTAATTTCCCACTAATCTCTCCGTTTTCTCTGTAAACCTTTCTGCCACAACCTTTACAAGGGCAGGTATTTTAAATCTTTGGCCTGCTTCTGGACTTGCCTGAAACAGCTGGTGGGAAGGAAGAAAAGTAGCAGTGAGATCCAAAGTGGAGTTTGGAGCAGAGACACAGAAGGGCAGTGATTGTTACTGTGCCCATAACAAGTGCACAGAACCAGGTCTGTGTGTGAAGCAGCAGGACATGTGAAGGGTCAGAACATGTTGGGAGAGGGACACAGCCTAGGCTGTGCCAGCTAGAGTTACTGCTGGAAAAAAGGGCTGGATCTTTTTTGGTAAAGGAATACACTTACAAATCTTGTTAGACATATAGTATATAAGGCATTTTTTCATCTCTTTCTTTTATCTGCAACATTTAGGAGGTCAGACTGAGCTATGTCCTCAGCTCTAAAGCACCTATGCTTGCTATTGGAAGAACAAAATGGGAATTCTTCTAAGAATATTTAGACCTAAAATTTAACAGTGTATAATGGCAAATCTCCCTGTTAATCAACCATCTCAAAACTCTTCAGATAAATCAGTGGCATTGTAAAAGCTCTGTAGTGATTTTTATGACACCATTATTCCAAGTTTATTTTGGATTTTGTTAGAGGGACTTTGTTGGTTGTGCCAGCTGACCATGATGATTAATATATAATTAAGATTCTTGACCATTCCTCTTGTGTCAGCAGGAACACATCAATTCCTTTGTCTTCAGCTGATGCACACACCCAGGGCTGATTGCTCAGATATTGTTGGTGGCTCACATATGAACTATCACCTAATGATTAGATAGAGCTGACAGAAATCAAATTCTAATAATTGCAAGAAAACCTCATATTTTAATTCAAGCAAAAGTACTAAAAATATTGTTCAGTAGTCTTTGGGTTGTCATATCCCCAATCAAACACTAAAAGCTGATGGCCCCTAAGAACAAGACATATCATATTAACTGCAATCTAATCTCATAA